TTAATAACTTGTAGTAGTTAGTAAGACAGTAGGATCAGAGCTACAATAGGAATAAATCCAGGGGACTATGGTTGTGCATAGAGGAGCTTACCTGTTCTAAATTAGGTGGGGTGGTGGTCAGAAAAATGGGATGTAGCCAGGCCTCTGGGAACATGTAGAACTACTTCAGGCCAATGAAGCTGCATATACAGAGACTTCATGAGGCAAGATTGAGGTGGGGGTTGGGGGCTGCAAGCAGTTTGGTACAACTTCAATTCCACACCCCTGTTTCAGTCTCAGAGCTGTTTCTCTCTTCCCTGCCCAGGACAAGGAGAGTGTCCAGCGAGTCCTGCAAGCTGTGGATAAAGCCAATGGCTACTGCTTCGGGGTCCAAGAGCAGCGAAGCCTGGAGGCCATGATGTCTGCTGCAATGGGAGCTGACTTCCATTTCTCCTCGTATCCTTGCTCGCTAGCCTCTTAGCCACAGCCATTGGGGGTGGGGGGTGGGGTAGTGTGTGGGACTCAGGAATAGCTACTTATACCTTTGTAGATGACTGATTCATTTTGACCAATTGGGCTCCCTGGTGACTGTCCTTCATGTTCAAAGGCTGGCCCCTTAGACAGCTTCAGGGTTGGTTGTACCTTAGGACAAGGGAAGATACTGATCAGAAGGAGCAAAAATACAGAGACCCAGGAATGAAAGGGCATTGGTTTTGAGAGAAGTAAAGGGTTCAGTTTGCCCGGTGTCTTGAGTGTGAAGGGGAAAGGAGGGGGTGCAGGCTGGCGATGGGGGTGCTTCAGTGCCCTGCTAAGGAATGTGGACTTCGGCTCATGGGCAAGCAGCAGGACCAGCATAGTGGTGTTGCTCAGAGTGTGGTATGAACAAATGTACATTTTTGAAAAGCCCGTCCAAGTGTGGAAAATGCATTTAAGGGATGTGATGGGGGGCAAGAGAGTGTTTACAGTTTCTAAAAGAGAAGAGATGAAACATTAGTAGTGAGAATAGAAAGAAGTGTGTGAATTGGAAAAATATCAAGGTGATACATGGTTATAAGGTAGAGGTAGAGCAGAATTCAGACTCCCAGTTTCTGATTTAGATAGTGGTATGGGTAGTTGTGCTAGTCACTGAGGTAAGAAAAGAAAGGAAGGTTTGTCAGAAGGGATGGGAGCTAGCAGATGTGCCATGCTTGAGGGGGATCTGGGACAGTCCGCTGTCTGGGAGGCAGCTAGACCTTCCAAACTGGACCGGTGGGGGTAGAGCTGAGGTCGTGTGTAGGCGTCTTTCATGTCACAGAGGCTACCTGTGAGGTAGGACAGGCTTTCTAGGCTGGTTTCAGAGATTGGGCATTTACACTGCTGGAGACAAGGCAGGGGTGGGGGAGGTGCACTCCAGAGTCCTTGTGTAGGGAGGAAATAGTTCCAGCCAACACTTACTGATCTGTGTCAGGCCCTTTCACACGTGGGAAACAAAGTTCACAGGGAAGTAGACTAGTTACAGATGATGGCACTAGAGTGTGCAATAAGTACCTGAAGAAAGGATGAGGACCTGCCTCACACAACTTGCTGCTAATGGCAAATTCAACGGCATGTACTCAGCAAAAAAGGGGAGGGGTACTTTCAATAGAGCTGTGATATTTTGCACAATGTACATGACTTTATGCTGTCACATTCTACTCATAAAACCATGTACACCAAGCATGTCAAACTCAAAAGGCTAACATGGGCCAAATAAACAAGGTTTAAGTTTATGTGGCCACAAGAAAAGCAGCTTTAATCTTCATAGAAACATAGGTTTATTTCAGTGGAGACATGCTGAATACAAAGGGCTGAAATAAATGAGTAATTATTAACATAAAATAATAGAACATTTTAATAAAAATTAATATTTTTTTCTTGATCATTAACTTACCAGACACTGAATAACTGCACAAATTAATAAGTGTAATGCAAATAAACCTGTTTTCCTTTTTATCCTAAAGCGAAATATTTCCTGTTGTGCACACCAAACAAGTCAGTACAGGACTAATGACGTGGCAATCGGCTGCTAAAATATTCGCTGCTGGTATTAGTGGATAGAAATGGTGCGCCTGCACTTAAGGCACATAAGGGAAATGAATGCAACACAATTATAGTAATCAGTCATTAGCGAACGTTGTAGTTTGTTATTAATAATTATGTATAACAAGATATTGTAAAAATTAAGTTAGGAAGTTTTTATTAAAACGTTTCTTACATACCGTTATGTTGGCTGGGCTGCAAAAATACTCATTGTGAGCCTCATGCGGCCTACAGGCCGCAAGTTTGACATGCTTGATGTATACTGTATTTAAGAAGTGATTTAAGGAATTTTAAGGTTTTTTTGTTATTGTTCTGATTCCCTGAATTGTTTTGGTTTTTAATTTTTCAGTTACAGTTTACTTTCAATATTATTTTGTATTGGTTTCAGGTGTACAGCCTAGTGATTAGATAATCATATACTTTACAAAGGAATTGTAAAGGTATTTCTCACCATATACATTTATGCTGATTTTAGATTCTACCCTCCTCTACCACCCCAATTTTCTTAAGGTTCAACTTTATTCTCTGTATTAGGCAATTAAGATTGGTAAAAAGATGGGAAAGTCAGCTCTGCTGAGGAGTGAGTTGGTAAAGAAAGCTTCAAAGTGGCAGTGACATTTGATTTGCATCATCTCAAAGTGAGGGTTAGCCAAGTTGATTAAGAGGAAAAGGGAATTCAAGGCAAAGAGAACAATGTATACAAAGGCATTGGAGTTTAAGATTGAGACATGTCTTGGGTGGTTTGCAAGTAGAATGGTGACTTGTGGGCAGGACAGGACTTCTGGCTGGGGAGCAGTGATAGTGCCAGGAGGTAGGCAGGAGAACTCAGGGTTCATGTGCCCTGCTCAGGAATGTATGCTTCAGGCCAGAGATAAGACAGGTTTGATATTCCAAGTCAAGCAGATGATCCTCAGGACTGACTTGCACAGGAACAAGGCATTACCTCCTGAGGAAAAGTGAAGGGAAGTGCGCACAGGTTCAGAGTCAGTTTGTGTCGGGCTGAGATGGATTTGATGGATGGATCCATGAGATGGTAAAGAAGGTCTAACCTGAACATCATTTGGTGGGCTACATACTCCATTTGCAGGATGTTATTTAATTTTTATTCAATCCCCTTTTATAGATGAAGCAGTTGGAGCTCTGAGAGTGATGACCCCAACGTCCCTCACTCAGCTTGTGTTAGAAGAACCGTTCAAATCTCGGTGTCCTTGGTTGTAGAATCTCAGTTGCTGACACTGGAGTCATCTAGTAGAGCAGCCATGGTGGCCAACATGGTCAACCCCTATCTCCCACTCAGACCCCAGACCCCGACCTCAGGCCAGCCAGTCTCACAGGGTTCCATCAGCAGTGTCATGGTCTTTGTCTTTGTGAATCTGATTTGTGTCCTTACTGCTGTCCCAGAGAGGTAGAAGGCACCCTATGGCCCAAGCAGAAATTTTTTGTTTTCTTTGTGCTCACTTGCGTTCTCTCCTTTGGCAGAAGAGAAGTCACAAACATTTCTTAAGCACCTACTGTCTGCCAGGTGCCATGCTAAGCACTCTATTCATTGTCTCATTTGATCCTCATAACAACTCTTGTTTTACAGATGAGAAAAAGGACACAGCAAAATCAGGATTTAAATCCCCATGGCCTGGCGCTGAGCGTGTGTCATAACAACAGAGTTGAAGGGTTAGCATTCTGGTCTTTTGATCCTCAGCAATGCGGGGAAGAGGAGCATTTGGGTCTCGTTGCTTTGATAGGCTTCTCAGACCCAATTGGTCCCTGTTGCCTGAAGCTATAATTATGAGGAAGGGAGAAGGATGGAAGTACTCTGCCAGACATGGTTGGAAGGCGGGCATCAGTAGAGGTCAGATCCTGCCCAGACCAGTTTCCCACCCTTGCCCATGCTATCATCCTTGACATATCTCTCAGCACCCTGGGAATCCAGGAGAAGTACCTGGCACCCTCAGACCAGTCAGTGGAACAAGAAGCCATGGATCTGTAACAACAGGCTGGGCTCTGGAGAACAAGACATAACCCAGCACTGGAGAAAGCTGTAGCCCCAGCTCAGCAGACTGCAGACCCAAGAACAGTCCTCCCAGCCAGAGCTGGAAGGCTGATGAAGAGACACCCAGCCCTGCAAAGGACTTCTGGCCAAAAGTCAGACGTGGTGCAAGCAGAGCACCCACCACACCCTCGGTGCTCATGAGCTCTGGGCACTGCCACCAGGAATTCAGCCCTGGCCCCACTCGAACTATTGTGGAATGTGAATACAAGAGTTTATTTTCTCCTACATGTTGTGACTTTCAAACTTTCTTCAACCTTCCAGGGAGCTGGGGTAGAATGAGTGAATGTCACCTTCCCTCCGAAGAGTTCTATTTCTTCATCTAAGGCAGTATTTCCCCAAAGAACAGGATAATACCGGAGGTTTAACACTTATTCTCCAATGATGCACTTAGGTTATTCTCCAGTTTTAACTGATTCTGAAGCTTGAGGTTTACAGGGGATACTTCTTAGCTAGATCTCAATGTTTCATTTTCATTATTCATTTTGCGGTTTTATTCTATTTTTGGCAAGTGCTAGCGAGTTTCCATTTATAGTAGTTATTAAAAGTTTACTTTAAAATGAAATTATTTATACAAAATGCATTGTTTAAAGAAAAATATTAAGTATATAATATGGCATGAGGGGCATGGCAAAAATTAAGGTGGTTTAAAGTTGGAAATACTGGTGATTGCTTTCTTTGCTCTTCTTGTAACTGGTTAGGTGCAATTTATATTGGAAACCAATAGGTGGCACCCCAGGTCTAGTTTTGCAGTTGTAGCTTGCAGCACAAGAGGGACAGATGGCTGTTGTACCGGAAATCTTATTTGCAGATACTTGGTCCTGTTAACACACCATGAAGGGCTTGACATTTTACAAAGTGCCTTCATACACATGGTCCTCATGTGGTTCACACAGCAACTTCTAGAGATACAAACAAGATTGGGACTATTACTAAGCCCCACTTTACATAAAGGAAACAGATGAGTTTGAACTTCAGTCAGCCTAGCTCTCTCATAGTTCACTTTGCTGACTTCTTAATTGTGGATACTAATGGTGAAACATTATGGCCTGTATCCCACAGGATTTGAGGCCAGTTGGAAGAAAGAATTTACACACCTGTAGAGTATTACTGAGTCACAAGTCAAGGGGAAGATAGGTCACTGGTGGTTTGGGCGGTTTAGGAAGATCTATTCAGAAGTAGCCTTGAGATGGCAACGACAGCTCTGCTTTCCAGCTTTGACAGCCAGAGCAGAGTGAAGGGCTCTGAGAAGGCTCCTGTGGCTGGAACAATATGAAAGGAGTCAACCTCCGCTCCCACGCCTAGCCTTATAGGGGATAATGATTGGGTGCTGCTTCCCCAGACTCTTTCATCTGCAGAGTTCAAAGCACCTCATTCCTATTAATACTCTGCACAGTAGGTAGAGAGTATCAACAAAGCAAGCCAGGGAAACTGAGGCCAGGAGTCACAGCCTGCGGCTGGCTGTGAGTCACCTATGGGGCCTGGAGCCCAGGAATCCTGATGCCCTGGCCACTGGACAAATCCCTCATCAGAGAGTGAGGATGGATGCTGTGTTTTTGAAAATAGTACCAATAGCTGTGGTCTTGGGTTGTTTTTCTTTTCTTTTTTTAAATATATTTTATTGATTTTTTTACAGAGAGGGATAGAGAGTTAGAAACATTGATGAGAGAGAAACATCGATCAGCTGCCTCCTGCATACACCTCACTGGGAATGTGCCCACAACCAAGGTACATTCCCTTGACCGGAATCGAACCTGGGACCCTTGAGTCCGCAGGCTGACGCTCTATCCACTGAGCCAAACTGGTTAGGGCTGTTTTTCTTTTTTAATATATTTTTATTGATTTCAGAGAGGAAGGAAGAGAGAGAAACATCAATGAGAGAATCATTGATCGGCTGCCTCCCACACACCCCAACTGGGGATCGAGTGCGCAACCTGGGCATGTGCCCCTGACCAGAATCGAACCCAGGACCCTTCAGTCCACAGGCCGACACTCTATCCATTGCGCCAAACCAGCCAGGGCTGGTCATGGGTTTTGATGCTTACTCCATCATGGAGGCCACAGCCATCACCAAAACAAACCAGTTGGAGAGAGGTGTCATTAGAACTTTATGGGCTCGTATCCAAGCACCCTGAGCATTTATTCTCTGCAGTCATGGAGTAGACATGGATGGAATAATCCAAAACTTTATTTTCAGGCATTGGTATGACAGCAAGGGTGTTTTCTCTAATGTAGCTCTCTCCACCTCCCACTGATAGCAGAATGATTTTCATGTTGGGGAGGGATAGCACAGTGCCGAAAGGACTGTGGGTTCCAAGTGAGGTCTGTTCATCATGAAATGTATAGGGTAAGAGAAAGTCCGTCCTCCAGTATGGCTGGGATAGGGCAACTGTCCTTAAGATTTCTTTTTTTTTATTTAATTTCCTGATAAAAATAGCAAAGTGAAAAACTTGGAAAATAAAATTAGGCTCATAATCCCATAACAGAAATGAAAATATAATCTATAATAAATTTTATATTGAAATGTATATTTTATTTTTCTATACATACAGAGGGATAGTTATAGCATTTATGTAAGATATATTATTGCTTTGTAACCTGCCTTTTTTAGTTGACACTATTTAATATAATTAAAAATATGAAGACCTTTTAATGTTTACATGATAATATTCTGTGGTATGGCTACAATATTGTTTACTTACTCAAATTCCCATGGTTAGCCTATAAGTCATTACCAATTTTTTGCTATTGTAAATAGTGCTGTCTGAATCTTTAACTTTTTTTTTTTAATTGATCTTAAAGTGGGAGAGAGAAAGAGAAACATAGATGTGAAAGAAATACATGGATTGGTGGCTTCCCGAATACGCCTGGACCAGGGATCAAACTTGCAATCTAGGTATATGCTCTGACCAGCAATCGAACCCACTGGACCTTCTGGTGCACTGGACGACACTCCAACCAACTGAGCCACACTGGCTAGGGCTGAGTCTTTGACTTTTAACTTATGATAAAATCCTAGAAATGAAAAAGCTGATGTTTTCCAGGTTCTGGATTCATATTGCCTTCCAGAAAAGTGCCACTTTACATCTCACAGACACGTCCTCAAAATGCCTCTCTCTCCTTCTAAGGTACCTTAGAAGGGATCTTCTTGATCATCTCTGCTTATCACTGGCATTAGGATAAATGCATTTCCTGGCTCTGAATTGGAGCTCCAACAATTGGGAGATAGCATTTGGAACTTATCAGAGACCACAGTTAATTGGAAAGACTTCTAGACCAAAGAGGCTTAGGAGTGAGGGTGACGCCCTTGAGTCCCACAGACCTAAAGCACAGCCAGTCTGCTCTCCACTGTTTCTGAATTGGGAAAAAGCTCCCCTCCTGTCGGCTGAGATAGGAAGCCTGATCCCAGTAGGGGGTGGGGGAAGGTTGATCTTGGAGAGTCTCTGTCCTTTCTCAAGGCTCCTGAGAAGGGAAGGGGAGTGACTTCAGACCCATCCCAGCATTACCAAGGCCCAACCGGTTTTTGAAAGTAGTGGGGAGGCCCAACTGCCCCAGACGTCTGGAAGGAAATTCTCTAGCAAGCTGAGTAGCCCCCTTCCTGTCCCGCCCCTTTTCTTCTTTCTTGCCCCTGTGCATTGAGCCTTTACCCAGCCTGATCTGGGCTGTCCACTCCCACTTCCTATCCCCTGAAGAAGGAAGAGTCCCAAATTAGCACATATCTCAATGGCATTGGGCCTACTGAGGCCAGGGGAAGTCATAAGTCTCATTTACAACGGACTGTCCTTCATTTCCTGCCAGGAAGCCCCAGAAGTGCAGGTGTCCAGGGAGCTTAAGACTGAGGAGCTGTGAAGGGATGGGCTGGGGATTTGGAGCCCAACTAAGATGAAAAAGAAAGATGAATATTGATAAAAATGTGCTGAACTAAAATACAGAGCAAAGCTGGAAATTTCTTTCCTCATCCCAAACCCTGAAGCAATGGTGGAGGAGGGAGATGAAAGGCCCCTTCAATCTATCCCAAATGAACGCAAAATCTCAAGAAGTGTGCTTTCTGTGCAAATACAGCTCTCTTCACACTGATTGGAGGCCTCTTCCTGTATATTCATCCTGGAACCTGCACATTGCTCTATGGAATCATATAAACTGCACAGAAGGGATATTGGGACATGAGTAAGATTTCTCCCAACTCAAAGCATACCAGTGGTTGCACAATCTATTCTGACTTAAACATCTGTCCCCTGTACATTCAGAAAAGGAAATTTCAGGTTGACTTTATTCTGGAGAAAGAAAGGGGGGGAAATGTGTCTTTCTCCTTCCCTCCATTCTTCCCTCCCACCTTCTCTTTCAACATATATTTCTTAAATGCCATAATCTGATGTATGAAGTACTGTATGTAGCCACAGATTGAAGACTCCATGAGTTCAGAGTCTGGGATCTCCCTCTTATCTCTAGACAAATAAAGAGTTAAATTTCCCAGAGAACAGTAAGGAGAAAATTGGGTGGAGATGAGAGATGAATCAGCCTTTGACATACCTGTCTACTGCCCCCACAGACATTCCTGGCCCCTGACTCACTGTGTAGGTGGGGCTGGGGGGTTCTGAGAGGAGGGGGACCTATTCTACAGAAACCTGCCTTTCCCCCTCCCTCCCCCCGCCCCCACACACAGCAAGGATTGGGGGATGAGTAGACCCTGTGAACAGGTGAAGAATTGAAAAGGAACAAAGATTGTAACCACATTAAGGAAACCTTAGCTTGGTAAAGATCAGGAAATTGGTCCACTACAGTTTTTTTCTCAAGACAATTCCTTTCTGCTGGGCCCTGGGGTGGCATTAGATTGAGGGTAGAGTAAGTCTTTCTTGATTCTTAGAAGCAGGGCAGCATAGCATAATGTGGTTCTTTTCAAGCTTATTTTTAACTCACAATACAGACATATGTGTGGCTATTGTAGCCATATGTGGAAACAGGAAACCCTGACCACTGGGGTCCTGCCCTGTGTTTCTGGGGAACCCTCTGAACACAATTTGAAAACAGCTGTTGTAGTTTAAAAATCATGGACTTTGGTCCTAACCGGTTTGACTCAGTGGATAGAGCGTCAGCCTGTGGACTGAGGGGTCCCGGGTTTGATTCTGGTCAAGGGCATGTACCTTGGTTGCGGGCACATCCCCAGGAGGGGGTGTGCAGGAGGCAGCTGATCGATGTTTCTCTCTCATCGATGTTTCTAACTCTCTGTCCCTCTCCCTTCCTCTCTGTAAAAAATCAATAAAATATATTTAAAAAAAATAAAAATAAAAATCATGGACTTTGGAGTCAGATCCATTCCATTCCCCAGGTACATTATTAGGTTATTTAGCTGCACTGAGCCCCATTCTCTTCATCTGCAAAACAAAGATGATAATAGCAGTCATGTCTGTTGCTATTTAAAAAAAAATTATTTTGAGAGAGAGAGAGACATTGATTTGTTGTTGCACTTATTCATGCATTCATTGGTTGACTCTTTAAATGCCTGACCCTGGAATCTAGCCTTGGCGTGTAGGAACAATGCTCTAACCAACCGAGCTGCTCGGCCAGAGCCCACTGCTATTATTACAGTACTCTGTCCTCTAGGAAGAAGCAGGAGTGGGGCACTGTTGGTCAGAACAATCTTGGTGAAAGCATCTGAAATCAGGTTTTCCCCAAAAGGCACTGGACATTTGGACCTTGGACGTGTGTGTATAGGAGTATCTTGCCTTTCTAGAAGGAGCCACAGTGGCCTGCCTAACCCTTGGCCTCCCTAGGGTGCCTGGTTGGTTCTGGGAAGGCACTTTGAACCCAATGCCTTGCCCTCCATCACCTGTGGATCTACAGAGCCAATTAAGAGTGGGTATCTCCCCTAGAAAACCGTAAGTTGCAAATTTTCCCCATATCAATCAAATTCTTGAGAGCGAAAGATCTTTGCAAGCCCTGGGCCTCCATTTCCTGGAGGATAGATACTCTGGCAGTGCAGAAAGGATAGGACTGGGATTATTTGAATCTCTGTGAGCCTGTCTCTGTCTAGATAGCCCTGCCTCCCCTCAGAACCAGCTATATTTCTATTTCCACAACTGAGGACCTGGCACTAAACCGGATTTCCAGGCATTTGGGAGGATGGTTTTAAAACTAAGTTCTGAGCACCTTCCTGTACACAAAACCTTGAGACACAAGTTTCTGAGACACCTTGAGTGTACACAGTCTTGAGACACTGGGGGAAGAAAGGGACAAAGTTATTTTTGAATAATGGGACAAAGTTATTTTTTTAGAGAGCTTTCTGAGAAGACAATAAATAAACCCAGGACATACTTACAAACCCAGAGGTAGAATCAAGTCAATGTGAAATCATAACTGAATAAATGCACTTAATAAGTGTACCTATATAAATTAAAGGAGTTGATAAGAGAGCACAGATCCAAAGCTCTGTATATGTTGAAGGGAGAGGGAAGCTGGTTAGTCACGTTTTGATCTGAAGCTGGGCTTTGAAATTTAGAGGTTATAACAGGTGCTCAAGTGGAAAGGATAATGTGAAGGCGAGAATGGCCACCATGAAATTTCCAGGGGTACCTGCTTTGCCTTTTGGGACTGATTTTTTTTTTAGAGAGAGAGAGAGAGAAGAAGGGAGAGGGAGAGAGAGAAACATCATTGTGAGAGAGAAACATTTATCAGTTGCCTCCCATATGCACCCTGACTGAGGATTGAACCCACAATCTGGGTATGTGCCCTGGTGGGGAATCGAAACGACGACCTTTCAGTGCATGGACGACATTCAGCCAACTGAGCCACACTGACCAGGGCTTCTGGGACTGATTTTTAAAACAGATATAATTCACACACTACAAAATTTATCCTTCTAAAGTGTACAGTTCAGTGTCTTTTATATATTCATAAAATTGTACAAATATTACCCCAGTTTGAATCCAGAACATTTTGTCCTGGCTGGGTAGCTCAGTTGGTTAGAGTGTCATCCTGATACGTCAAGGTTGTGGGTTCGATCCCCAGCCAGGGCACATACAAGAATCAAGCAATGAATGCAAAAATAAGTGGAACTACAAATTGATGTTTCTCTCTCTAAAATCAACTTTAAAGCAAAATAAACAAGCCTGGAACATTTCATCACTCCAAAAGAAACTATGTACCCATTAGCAGTAGAACTAAAATTTCTAAAACAGCAATCTAGGCCAGGGAAAGATGGCAAGAAATACTCACGGAAACTCCACTCTGGGTAATAGTAAGAACATTTTACAGACCCCTGGCTCAGTTGGTTGGAACATTGTCCCATGCAATGTTTCTCTCCCTCCCTTACTCCCTCTCTGAAATAAAAAAATTAAGTTTTACAGAGATTAAAACAAAAAACATAACAAAAATAAAAAGGTCTGGGACCCTCATGGTCTGGTGCCAAAGCCAGCTCACATTTAGCCATCTGATTTGATGATGTTCCAATCCACATCATATACTTTTTTTTAAATATATTTTATTGATTTTTTACAGAGAGGGAGGGAGAGGGATAGAGAGCTAGAAACATCGATGAGAGAGAACCATCGGTCAGCTGCCTCCTGCACACCCGCCACTG